TTTTGGTTTATTTTTAGTTACCAAATGAATATGAAATCACTTAATTTGTTATTAATGTTGATAAATAAGATTCATTGCAAAATATGATAATTGATTTGCAATTTTTATTTTATAATTATATTTACAATTTTATCGTGCATACTTAAATAATATTTCTAAAAACAAAACTTATTTAATAGAATTTTTGAAGACATGTTGTATGATTGCTTACCAAAAGAATAAGAAAATGTAGTGATTCATAATTAATATTAAGAATCAAATTTTTACTGTGATTATTGTTACAAATTTTTTTAAAAAAATTGATGCCACTTTATTCATATAGAAATTCGTGATATTATCTGATTTGCAAGATTTACAAAAGATAAGTATAATTTGATTTTTATTTTTATATAAATATTAAATAATTTTTTTTTTTTTTTTTGGTATAAATAATTTTACTATTTTTTTAATAGTAAGCCAACATGTTTAAATGTAAAGTAAAAGTTACTATTTCAGATTATTCCATCAAACTCTTTCAATATACATAAATAGATCCTACCTATCGAAAAAGAAAATTAAATTTTGGAATGTTTCTTAGAAACATGATGGGCAACAATTATATCAAATTTCGTTTTTAATATCATATTAATTTCTGTTTTTTTCTAAGGCTTGTAAAGGTAACAATCAGTGACAAGCTATAATTTTCATTCAGGGGGGCCTGATTTTAAATGTTAAATAACTAGTTTAAAATTTACTAGAAACGCCTATTTCATATAAAGTTGTGTTCACTTATAAATATAGATATTAATATGTGTAGCTTCAAGTTTTTAAAAACTTAGAATCCGTATTACCCTCAAACTTTTATTAAGGAAAAAAAAAAAGAGATTTCGTGTATTAATAATTTAAGTTTAAGACCTATAATTTATGAAAAATAAGTTTTTTTGTTCAGAATTTGATTTAAATTGAGCAAAATGCATAGCATTTTGTTGATGAGAGCTTATCAAATGATTATTTTTTTATTAAAAAATAAATAAAGTTGAAAATATGTGATTACATAAAAAATAAAGTAAAAAATAAACATTCAAATATAGAATTGATCAACCTTCAAAAATCTAACAATCCACATAAATTCTAGATTTTATAAATCATTAAATTGATTTACAATTAAAAGGCCGAAAGAGTAAATTATTTTAAATATTTTCAAAAATTTATCTAGAAATGTAAAATAAAATGATTGTTAGTATACTTTTCAATAAATAAATAATATTATTATTTTAAATTAGAATAGCATTGAGAATAAGTTTTATATATTTATATATATTACATATTTTTTATATATTTATTCATTTTTATATTATTTTTTATTTGCATACACATTTATAAAGATTTTTAAACAATTGAGGCCCCATGGACCTCATGTAGGTCCGTCTCAAGTAACAGTTATTCCAGTTTCCTTCTTAAAAGGAAAAAAAAAAAGATATGTATTTATAAACTATTTTGTAAATAAAAGTGAATTTCAATTTTTTAATTCCAATATATTTATAAATTAACGCATTTCTATAAACTATTTTGCAAATCCATAATTTTTTTTTTTTTGTTTTGTGCTTTTTAATGTTCTCTCTGTTTTAAAATAAATGTCGTTGTATGTGAAAAAAAAAATTACGAATTTGAAGGAATTTGTTATTTTACCATGCTATAAGATTTTCTAAATCTCTTAAATTTTATTTAAATATCTTTTTCATATGTTTCATGTTGGGAATGAAGTTAGAGAGCTTATAGATAAAAATACGAATCATTATAAAAATAATAAGCATGAACTAAACCTTCGGAATTTTTAAGATTTTATCAAACTAATCAATATTTTTGTATATTCAATTCAATTTTTATCTACATCACAATTTTGTAATATTGATAAATTCAAATTTAATCTATTGACAAGTATATATATCAGTAATTTATATTTTATGTCCCCCATTCTTTTATCCCTATAAATATACCTTAGTTTTACAATTTTCTTCTACTAAAAAATTCGATTACTGCTCATTTGCGTAAAACAAACAGATCCAAATAATAATTTTTTTTCAAAATTTATCAAGTTCTAATCCTAGCAATCTAGATGAAATTCTATTCTTTTAAAATTCATAAACTCTCTTAAATTTACCATTTTCACAAACTCTATTTCGTGCCGACTTAATTTAACATGGCAAAAAAGGTAATTTCGTCCTTTATCTGATAGCCCTTTTATATTTGGTCCCGTAAATGGACTGTTTTTGGAAATGATCTCCTAAATGAAAAAAAAAAAAAATTAGTTTTTTGGTCCTCTGACCGCCTACATCAGGTCAGAGTTACCGGATGAGCCTACGTGTCTTCTAACCCGCCCGCGTGTCTTTTAACTCGCCTACGTGTTTTTTTT